AAAAAAAAAAAAAATCACTTGATCTTACGCAGTCCTGATCACAAAGATAGTAGTATCTGGAAGGGCATAAATAAATCATGCAACAGGTAACAACCGAGTACTTCCTGACCACGATACTGTCTTAAGAGTTACACCGTGCAAGAGCACCTCTTATTAATTTTGGTGACTGTAAATTGTACAGAACTCAAACCAAAACAAATAAGCAAGCAAGCAGGCAAACAAACAAAAGAAACCCTTTACCTTAATTTAATAATCACATAAATTTTAAAAAATTAAATCTGTCAGAATACCAATTTTTGTCATAAAGGCAGATGCAAAAATGATTAAAAGTATTTTTAAAGCAATAATGTGGTACATAAATCAAAACATTAGGCGAGGACTGAAGACCCTAGTTCTAGTGCTCCTTCTGTCCCTTACTTACTTTGTGCAACTTTCTAAGTTTCCCTCTAAGCTTTCAAGTACAATTTGCTCTTTAACTTCATGAATATTCAATATTTAAATCAAATGCAGCTGACAGTGGTAAGAAGCATTAGTAGTTATAGCTACAGATATGAGATTGACTCTCCCAAATACATAGAAATAAAACCAGACCGGTAATAGTATTTTCATTTAAAAATATTATAAAGGATATTACTTGATAAATTCTTATCTGTTCTGCTGAAGAAACCATGAAACCTAAGTAGATCACTCTGCTTTAGTATGATGTTTCTTTAAATTCCTAGCTAATCTTGACCCAGTTAATAGGAACAGTTATCTTTTGGAAAATTATAAATATCTGATTTTACACTAACAGAATTTACCTCAGTTGTTCAGGGGGCTTCCACGGTTAAGAACAGCACATTCATAATGGATTAAAAAATGAGTATTTCTATTTTCAAACGGAAACTGTTACCCAGAGGGACAAGAAGTACAATTATTATTTACAGCATTCTTCAGGTAAGCTTGCTTCATTAACAGAACTACGGATTAACTTTTCCTCTCTGAATACTGAATAGGAACTTTTTTCTTTTTTAATTTTTATTGTGATTTGGGTGAAAATTTACAGAGCAAATTCACTTTCCATACACGTACACTTTGTCTCATGACATCCACTCCAATTTTCCACAATGCAACAGCTCCCCTCCCACTTCCTCCCCGTAGTTACCTCTTCCCTGTGTCCTTCCCTCCCATGCACTCCTGCCCCCTGAGCTGTCTCCCTGTGCACACCCAGCCCTTCTTTCTCCCATGATTGATCTCTCCAAGGAGTGTATCTACCTATTTATTGTAAATGTTCAGCTCATATGCCTGTCTTTTGTTTGGCTGGAAGCCATAGGAATGGTTTAATTCCAGACCTGAAAGGCAGGTAGGGGCCATAGTCTAAGGGTCCCATCAGGCTCTATCAGACCAGCAAACCTGGTCCTTTTTTTTTTTTTTTTTTAAGATTTTGAGTTTTATTCCACATTGCTCTCCCACTCTATCTAGGATCTCCTACATAGATACCCCCCTCTGAGTGGTTAACAGTAGTAGCTGGTCACCATCTAGTGCTTCTGGTCTCATAGTCATATAGGCTAAGGATCACATGGTATACCAGTTGCTTGGACTGTTGCCATGTGTCTTTGGTTTTCTTCATTCTTCTTTGCTCTGGATGAGGAGAGACCCATCGTTGCATCTAGATGACTGTTTGCAAGCTTTTAAGATCCGAGTCGCTACTCACCAAAGTAGGATGTGGAACAATGCTTTTGTGTAATATGTTATGCCAATTAAGCTTGATATCCCTGTGACCATGGCCCTGAGCCCACAGGTCCAACTACTCTCTCCCTCTGGGTAGCTGGCTGTGGCCAAGAAGTGACTACAACCTTGCCCCTTGTCAGCTCTTCTATATACCTGGGAATTCTTACAGAACATACAAACACAGTTGTAGAAACACTGTATGCCAATGCTATACATGGTCTTGGGCACATTCCTCCCTCCATGGAAATACCTAATAGTTCAGCCTATTCACCCATCTAACCGCCCTTCACTGATATGTTTGCCTTCACTGACAACACAGTACTGACTGTGCAAAAGGGTTCATCTTTGCTGTCTGAACCTCTCACGCACTTCTCTATGTCTTCCTCAATGCCACCACGTTGATTACTCACATTTGGTATACTGCCCTTCTCTTTACCCAAATCAATCCTTGTCTCTACCTATCTAACAGTGTTCCCTCCTCCCCCTCCCCTTACACCCCTGGTAACCAACAAAGAAAATTTCCTTCCAATATATAAACCTTTCCTTTTTATAATAACGGACTAATACCATATTTGTCCTTCTGTCATTGACTTATTTCACTTAGCATAATGTCCTCCAAGTTCATCCACATTATGCAGTGTTTTGCTGATTCTACGTTATTCTTTAGGGTTGGATAGTATTCCATTGTGTGTATGTACCAGAGTTTGGTTATCCATTCTTCTGTTGATGGGCACCTAGGTTGTTTCCATCTTTTGGCTATTGTAAATAGTGCTGCGATGAACATAGGTGTGCATACTTGTCCTGGCTCTCATTTCTTTAGGATACATACCTAGTAATGGGATTACTGGGTCAAATGGTATTTCTAATTTCAACTTTTGAAGGAATCGCCATACTGCTTTCCACAGTGGTTGTATCATTTTACAGTCCTACCAGCAGTGTATGAGAGTCCCAATCTCTCCACAACCTCGCCAGCATTTGTTATTTTCTGCCTTGTTAAACTTTGCTACTAGTGCTGGAGCAAGATGGTATCTCATTGTTTTGATTTGCATCTCTCTAATGGCTAATGATTGTGCACATTTCTTCATCCGTTTGTTGGCCGCTTGAATATCCTCCTTGGTGAAGTGTCTATTCATGTCTTCTGCCCATTTTTTAATTGGACTGTGTCTTTTTGTTATTGAGGTGTTGGAGTTTTCTATAAATTCTAGAGATAAGTC